GGATTGAGTATTGATATTGTAGTTAAGTATTGATGAACGTTTCGAAAATGAGTAGCACCTCAAAGTGTTTTGAAATAAATTCGAAAAAAAAAAATTTATTCTGATTTTCGGTAAATAAAAGTGGGGCGTTACAGTTTGGTATCAGAGCTAGTCTGCGTTTCTGTAGACTGGTCCAAGTATTGATTATGTGATTATGTGCTTTGACCTTATGATATGACCACTCGCTCTCGTCGTGCCGCGCCAGCTCAGGCATGAGTACCTGAATGACTTTAAGATTATTGTATTTTGGTTGATTATTGATTATTGGAATGAAATCGGGTTAGGACTAATCCACCTCTAAATGAGAACTCTAGTGTTGAACTCTAGACTTCTTTTGTGATTGCGCTAATTTTGTTCGGCCTATTCAATGTAGAGCTATGAATACCCGCAACAACCGTAATCGTCAGCCATCCCCATCTCCTTCTCCTCCTCGTCGTCATCATCAGGCCCCTCCGGCCATGGACCTTACTCAGCTTATTGTTCAGTTTCAGCGCATGAATGCGCCAACTTTCTCGGGGACTGAGAACCCCACAGCAGTGCTTGAGTGGATGAAGGAGCTGGATAAAATCTTTGCTGTACTCCCCCTCCCCGACCGTCAGCGCGTGTCTCTTGCGGCATATCAGATGAAGGAAGACGCCTCAGATTGGTGGATTGAGCTTTGGGCCCGGAGGCCCGAGGCGGAGCTTCATGCTCTCACTTGGGAGCAAATGAAGACGATGGTACGCAGCAAGTTCCTTCCCCAGAGCTTTTGGGATAGGATGGAGCATGAGTTCTACCACTTGCAGCAGGGCAGCTCCACAGTGGATGAGTATATTCGCACCTTCACCCGCATGTGCCTTTTTGCAGGCGACGCAGTAAACACCGATACCAAGAAGGCTCGCAAGTTTTTTAAGGGGCTCAACCAGAGGATCCGTGAACTAGTGGGGAGTCACGGACCGATGTCATATGCAGATACCGTGAGTCGGGCTCAGGAGGTAGAGAGCTGTCTCATTCCGATAGCTCCAGTCCCTTCTTATTACCATGCCTCCCAGCCTTCTCAGACCGTTGCTCAGTACGCTCAGCCCATCTCCTCCGCTCTGCCCGGCTCTAGTTCGGGTAAGAGGAAGGCCGATTCCCACCGGGACAACAGGGAGGGGAAGCGTGGCGGGAATGACCGTCGTGGTGAGCGCCCTGTCGCTCAGAACCAGCATCCGAAGTGTCGTAACTGTGGTCGTTATCATCCAGGAGAGTGCCGTTTCGCCCAGCGAGTCTGCTT